TCCCCTCACCCCTCACCTCTCACCCCCTCACTCCCCCATCCCCTCACTCCCCCATCCCTTCACCCCCTCACCTTTCACCCCCTCACTCCCCCATCCCCTCACTCCCTCACCTCCCAACCCTGAGGGAGCAGAAACAGACAGACCAGGGAAGGCTCACTGACCAGCCAATGTAGCCAGGAGGAAGAACCCCAGACCAAAGAGAGACTTCATCTATCTCATTTTAAATATTTTAAGCAACATTAGCAAAACATTAAAAAAAAAACTTCAGATTTATAGTGCCTAACTTCGGACAAAATCTAAAATCCTAAATGCTATGGGTTTTCCCTTTTCAGATAATTTTCTTTAGGTCAGCATACGAAGTAATGACGTCATTTCCATACATGTGTCTTTATATTTTGTCGTAATTCTTCCTGCTGCTCCATGGCTTCTTTTTTTTTAATTCAGGAGGTAAAATTGTTTGCAGCTAACCTGAAAAATAACAAAACTAAAATTGAGATAGAGAGCCCTTGGTCCCACAACCTAGTCATAACCATTTCTCGTTTATTCTGCTGCTATCCAGCCTTTCCCTCTGGTAGCAAATGGAGAAGATTGTAGTGCCTGGTCACATGGTCTGCTTTGCAATTAAATCATGTTTCCAATGTCATTCGATGACCATCATGAGTCCATTTTGATTGACACAAGACTTACGTTGGTTCAGTTGGAATTTGTGTGCTTGCATGTGTGCTGAGAACCACACCGTGCATACTAAGCATTAACTCTACCCCTGAGCTACGCCCTCAGTCCTTTAACAAATATTTTCATGTAATCTTTCTTTTATTAGAAATGAGAAGGTTTCCCAAAAGTCCACATATAAATCTTTGTTCAGATTTTGAAATATTTTCAATTTCATGGGTGATAAATGATTATACAAAGATGTGACTTAAAAGCCCGTGGTGTTGTTTTCATTCAGCGCTCAGTCTGTGTTCCTGTGAATTCTCTGGGGTCCTGTGCATCATCTGGGTTCCTGTGCATTCTCTGGGGTCCTGTGCATTCTCTGGGTTC